GTGAGGTGACCTTTAAGGTGTGTATGGGGGTGTGAGGGTGACCTTTAAGGAGTGTATGGGGTGTGAGGGGGTGACCTTTCAGGAGTGTATGGGGTGTGAGGTGACCTTTAAGGTGTGTATGGGGGTGTGAGGGTGTGACCTTTAAGGAGTGTATGGGGTGTGAGGTGACCTTTAAGGAGTGTATGGGGTGTGAGGGTGTGACCTTTAAGGAGTGTATGAGGGTGTGAGGGTGACCTTTAAGGTGTGTATGGGGTGTGAGGGTGACCTTTAAGGTGTGTATGGGGGTGTGAGGGTGTGACCTTTAAGGAGTGTATGGGGTGTGAGGGTGTGACCTTTAAGGTGTGTATGGGGGTGTGAGGGGGTGACCTTTAAGGAGTGTATGGGGTGTGAGGGTGACCTTTAAGGTGTGTATGGGGGTGAGAGGGTGACCTTTAAGGAGTGTATGGGGGTGTGAGGGTGTGACCTTTAAGGTGTGTATGGGGGTGAGGGTGTGACCTTTAAGGTGTGTATGGGGGTGAGGGTGTGACCTTTCAGGAGTGTATGGGGTGTGAGGGTGACCTTTAAGGAGTGTATGGGGGTGTGAGGTGACCTTTAAGGAGTGTATGGGGTGTGAGGGTGTGACCTTTAAGGAGTGTATGGGGTGTGAGGGTGACCTTTAAGGAGTGTATGGGGTGTGAGGGTGACCTTTAAGGTGTGTATGGGGGTGTGAGGTGACCTTTAAGGTGGCTTGATAGATTACGTGGTCTCAGGGCTGCTGGTTTGATAAGCAACATTCCGTTTTCTATGCTTGGGTCGATAGGTTGGTTAAGTTCCTGCGTTTTAGCACATCATTTTATGCACGTTGTGGCAACTGAAGAGGACGGGCTGCAGTCTGATTTGGGTAGTTAATGATTGGGCGTCTCTGGATCGGTGGTAGCTCTGATTGGGTAGTTAGTGATTGGGAGTCTCTGGAATGGTGGTAGCTCTGATTGGGCAGTTAATGATTGGGTTATCCCTGAGTCATCAAGAGGCGATGACGATACAATCCGGATGTTGAAGATTTTGAGAACAATCATTCCAATCATTACAATTACAATACAATGTAATCATTCATTACAATCATTCATTAGCAGGTCGTATATCACCTAGGTCGCCTAGCTGGACCATATAGGTAGTTAAGGAAGTCTTATATATATGGTTATATAATTATGGACGTCGCTTGATATTAATTTAGACGTTTATGTAGATTTTTATTTTGTGGAATTAGAATCATTTGAGATGGAAGTTGATATGCCATAGAAAACGTTGTACCCGACTGAAAATGAAATTTTTTTTAGGGGGGACCATTCGAGATGGGGGTGAAGGTCGGTCTCTTTTTGCAGGAGGTAATGTAAAGGTCATGACTTTCTCAGACAGGTGTGTGGAAGGAGGTTGAAGGGTTGGGGGTTGGTTGCATGGTTGCACTAGGGGTTGCAAGGATGGAACATCGGCTTCAAGTTCCTGCGGGTGTCCTCTGAGACTCTTAGATACTCCCGGGGATCGTTTAGAAAGGTCGTCGAACTTGACGAGGGGGGTCCTCCCTGTCTGCTTGTTCGTCTCCTCCTGTCTAGGGCGAGAAGCTGTCTACTTGTGTCTGTCTGCCCGTCTAGGGTGAGTGGGGAAAATGTGCGCACGTGCACTCTCGCTTGTAAATAATGTCTCCCTGACGGCATGCTACCATAAAACAACCTCTCAGTGACAGACGGAGTAGACAGGTGTCTTGTCTTCGGCGGAGTAGACAGGTGTCTTGGCCCTCGAGACCACACCAGACCTGATTAAGACCAACCTGGCGTCTGACAAGGCGCCTGACAGCTGGGTGGACAGCGCTTCGGATTCGTAGTCCTGACAAATGGGCAAAATGTTTCTTTCACCCTAATACCCCTGTTCCCTAGCAGTAAATAGGTGCCTGAGAGTGAACCAGCCGCTACGGGCTGCTTCCCGGGAGGAGGGGGGAGGGCATAACAAAAAGGTAGCTTGGTCGAGGACAGGGCCGCGGGGACGCTAAACCCCGAAATAACCTCAAGATAAACCCTGCATCTCCAAGCTAGAGTATATTAAAGACAATAACCTCAAATATATTACCCCGAGAAGCAGAAAACACCCCGCCCCCAAGTGCCTCTTAAGTCAGAGTTTGCAGTAATTTGCTTCTAATATTTTCGGCGACATCTTGGGTTTATTTCGCTCGTGGAAGACACACTTCCTCACAAGAATATTTTTATGAATATTGGCGCGATGGTTAAGGGTAGAGGCCCCAGTGGTGTGTTATATAATATATATATATATATATATATATATATATATATATATATATATATATATATATATATATATATATATATATATATATATATATATATATATATATATATATATATATAACCAAAACTCTTCACCGCAATGTGACCGAGGACCTGACTTTTACAGGGATTTCGGTCGAGGTGGAAGAGCGCCACCATTAGACCAGCCTCCAACACAATTACCTGCTGGGGGCGTGGGGGTGAAGCCAGGGGGGACGTGGAGGTGCAGCCAGGGGGAACGTGGTGGTGCAGCCAGGGGGGGGATGTGGTGGTGCAGCCATAGGGGGGTGGGACGTGGGGGTGCAGCCAGGGGGGGGGGGACGTAGGGGTGCAGCCATAGGGGGGGGGACGTGGGGGTGCAGCCAGGGGGGAAGGGACGTGGGGATGCAGCCAAGGGTGGGGGGGGGGACGTGGGGGTACAGCCAGGGGGGCATCAATAATACGGTGCTATAATCTCTATTTTAAAACCCCGCAATTTTGGCGTTAGGGAAGATTTCTTCTAAAATACAATGAACAAATACAAAGAACAAATTAAAACACATTAAAAGATTAACAATTGTAATAAGAACATAGAGGGGGTTAAAGATCTGTTAGGCACATAGTTCAGTGAGTTCTTCAACAATCAACCACAGGTGATTGTAGTGGTTTTACAATCCTAACCAACATGCATAAATATATACATCTTATATCTGTCATATTCAGTGTTTGCGGTACGATCTTCAACACAATGTGATTTATTTGCGTTTACACATATCAAATGGTATTAATATTATGTTTATTATTGTAAAAAAACATAAGAGCCACTTATGAGTGGGTTGAGGTGTCTCCTGGATTGTACCTGAATGAGGTTCTAGGAGTTCCCCTACTCCCTAAGCCCGGCCCGAGGCCAGACTTGGCTAGTGAGAGTTTGGTCCACCAGGCCGTTGCTTGGGACGGCCCGCAGGCCCACATACCCACCACAGTCCGGTTGGTCCGGCATTTCTCGAAGAAACTATCTAGTTTTCACTTGAAGATGTCCACGGTTGTTCCGGCAATATTTCTTATACTCGCTCCGAGGAGGTTGAACAACCGTGGACCTCTGATGTTTATACTTCTAGATGTTACTGCTGCTCTGCTTAGACTCGGTTACAAGTATCTCTGGGATTTCTCATTATCTGCTGATGTAGACCTGACCAAATGTAAATTGTGTCAATAAAATTATTCGCACACCCTCCGTCACTATGTGATGGAGTGCGAAAAGATACGTGAATTCAGAGACAATTCTATAACCAATGTTCCAGCGACGTGTAAATATTTCATTCAAAATGATCTACTATCAGAAATTTTAACCAAATATCCCCAGTTTGCTAACTGTAGGTAGTAACTAAGTGACTGTAACCTATCCACCGCTGCCCACTGGATGGGGGGCGGTGTGCAGGACAAACATAACTTGTGACACTAGGCTCTCCACATATGTCAGTTGCTTAATTTAGAAACTGTACTTGTGGTCGATCTCGAACCCATTGTTGATGTGACGACTTAAACTGAATTTTGTAACTAGCTCATCAAGATTGTAACTTGTTTAGCTAAATGAATTGTGGGGTTGAGTCCCTGAGCCCATTATGTGCCTCTGTAACCCTTTCCACTACCACCTACTGGGTATGGGGTGCATAATAAATGAACTAAACTAACTCTCTGAGTGTGCCTATGGCACCCTTCCTCTTCACTGGCTGTTTATCGCTCTAATGATAAACAACACATGGTTTGTCCAATATATATAACATTTTAAATTGTAAGCTAAATGTCACTCACTTTACGCCATAAATGTAAGTATGATATAGACTGCTGTACACTTATTTAGTCCTGGGCCATTATTGTAATAGCCTAGTCCCAAATCAAACTTTATTTATTGGCCTATTCCCGGCCATTAGTGTAATAGCCTAGTCCCAAATCAAACTTTATTTACTGGCCTATTCCCGGCCATTAGTGTAATAGCCTAGTCCCAAATCAAACTTTATTTATTGGCCTATTCCCGGCCATTATTGTAATGATTTGTATAAGTTGTTAAGAATAGAGTTTCTGATTCTGATCTCTTTGGAAACATATAGTCCAAGTGGAGGGTCGTCAGCGACGGTTATATTACCAGACTTAAGGAGTAAATTATCCTGTCTTTCTGGGGATGAAGTAATCTGTCCTTGGTGATGCTTCTCTCTTTGACATGAGCGAAATATTGGGAGGTGTTGCGTCAGGAGGTTCACCTGGAGCATCCATCCGTGTCTAATCGTCTCCTTGAGGGCTCCAAGATTACCTAATCAGTTTGGTGGTGGCGAAAGTCTCCTGTTATTAGAAGTACTGTCGTCATTCTATGTGCCTGCACAAGCAAGCATTCAATTGTTTCATTTACGGGAAATTCCTTTGCACAAACGGTGGACAAATCCCATTTTCTATCTATATTGAATGCCAACTCATTTTCTTCTATATATCCCGCCTCTATAGCACATTTCCCTATATATATCCCAGCCTAAGAGCCATTTTCTTTCATCCACGTAACTACCCATTTTCTTTCTCCCTGTCAACCTCTAGTTGTTGTTGTTAAAGATTCGCTACCTGGAACAAAGTTCAAAGTAGCACGGGCTATGGTTAGCCCGTAGTGCCTTTTCAACCCCAACCTCTAGATAATCTCTCTCTCTCTCTCTCTCTCTCTCCCTGGCAGAAAACGCGACGCTCCTGTGCTACCCGAACGGGACGTGGTCCAAGAAGTCCTTCTACAACGACTGCCTCGACTCCGTCATCGAGAACCCCGAAGTCAACACCGTTAACACCATCAGCACTATCTTCTACATCGGCAACTCTCTCAGTCTCGTTGCTGTCACTCTGGCCCTCTGGATCTTCCTCTCCTTCAAGTGAGTGCAAGTGTGGACGAGTGACAGGTTAGGCGTCAGCTCCTGAGCCCCCGCTCCTTCAAGTGAGTGCCAGTGTGGGCGAGTGACAGGTTAGGCGTCAGCTCCTGAGCCCCCGCTCCTTCAAGTGAGTGCCAGTGTGGGCGAGTGACAGGTTAGGCGTCAGCTCCTGAGCCCCCGCTCCTTCAAGTGAGTGCCAGTGTGGGCGAGTGACAGGTTAGGCGTCAGCTCCTGAGCCCCCGCTCCTTCAAGTGAGTGCCAGTGTGGGCGAGTGACAGGTTAGGCGTCAGCTCCTGAGCCCCCGCTCCTTCAAGTGAGTGCCAGTGTGGGCGAGTGACAGGTTAGGCGTCAGCTCCTGAGCCCCCGCTCCTTCAAGTGAGTGCAAGTGTGGGCGAGTGACAGGTTAGGCGTCAGCTCCTGAGCCCCCGCTCCTTCAAGTGAGTGCAAGTGTGGGCGAGTGACAGGTTAGGCGTCAGCTCCTGAGACCCCGTTTCTCGACGTACCAATAATTTAATGCATTTAAACGCTCATTTTTCTTATATAAACATTTAGATTGTTATTATATATTTTACATATTTACAATTTCTCTGAAGAGTTTGCTTTTGGCGTGTCTCTCTGGCTCATCTGTGTCTTGTCTCAGTCTTTGGCTAGTCCGTTCTTCCGTCACTACTTTGATCATTTTAAATGTCGTGATCATGTCCACCTTGATCTTTCTTCTAATGTGGCACAGTGCCCAAGGGCTCTTGACATTCTCTACTGATTGTAATGATCTTCTTTGGAAAATTGGCCTTTATAACACTTACCTTCACTAAAGAAGTGCTGGCACTCAAAGTACACTGTCAATCACACCAGCACACTCAACACCTGTATTCAGGTGTTGAGTGTGCTGTCACTCAAGCGTGTGCAAGCAGTAACGGTACACTCGCTGTCACTCAATGGTGTTCAGGCAGTAACGGTACACTCGCTGTCACTCAAGCGTGTGCAAGCAGTAACGGTACACTCGCTGTCACTCAATGGTGTTCAGGCAGTAACGGTACACTCGCTGTCACTCAAGCGTGTGCAAGCAGTAACGGTACACTCGCTGTCACTCAATGGTGTTCAAGCAGTAACGGTACACTCGCTGTCACTCAAGCGTGTGCAAGCAGTAACGGTACACTCGCTGTCACTCAATGGTGTTCAGGCAGTAACGGTACACTCGCTGTCACTCAAGCGTGTGCAAGCAGTAACGGTACACTCGCTGTCACTCAATGGTGTTCAGGCAGTAACGGTACACTCGCTGTCACTCAAGCGTGTGCAAGCAGTAACGGTACACTCGCTGTCACTCAATGGTGTTCAGGCAGTAACGGTACACTCGCTGTCACTCAAGCGTGTGCAAGCAGTAACGGTACACTCGCTGTCACTCAATGGTGTTCAGGCAGTGACTCAACACATGCTGTCGAGCAAACGTGTAAACAAAACAGATTCTGCCGAACCTGTCCTGTAGAAACTAGCTGTATACGCTCTGAACATCAGGGACAAACTCCTGATCGGCAGCGTATAAAGTTACTTTGACCGAGCGGACAGCACGCTGGACTTGTGATCATGTGGTCCAGGGTTCGATCCCAGGCGCCGGCGAGAAACAATAGGCAGAGTTTCTTTCACCCTATGCCCCTGTTACCTAGCAGTAAAATAGATACCTGGGTGTTAGTCAGCTGTCACGGGCTGCTTCCTGGGGGTGGAGGCCTGGTCGAAGACCGGGCCGCGGGGACACTAAAAAGCCCCGAAATCATCTCAAGATAAGATAACCTCAAGATAACGCTGCCAATCAGGAGTGTAGACGGAGCATCAGTACACTATGCCAATCAGACGTGCGCACAAATCAGATGTACGCTTTATGCCAATCAGAGGAGGGAAGGGGGGGGGTATATAGAGAGCAGCTGTACCCACACTGTCACTGTAAGCGCTGCGAGGCCTAATGTAATCCCATAAAGCGACGCCTCAAATTTCTGGGATGCAAATTTGCATACTTGAAAGATTATGCAAATGAGAGTGGCAACCCTGATGCATACCATTGTAAATATTTACATTGGGATGTAAAGAAGTATTTCTGGTGCGTAAGAGCAATGGGCCGAGAGGAATAGTGTGTGAGGGGAAACTCCACACACTTTACTAGGGGGGGGGGTTTAACCGGCGGTGCCCGGGTCTGTCTGGATTTATAGGTGGTTTCCCCTCTCTTTCCCTCTCTTTCCCTCTCTCCTACAATATTACAAATAACACAATAAGGGCAAGTGCCATATAATACTTCCTCTTTGGCTTCGAATCTGTGAGTTGGACTTTTGATAAAGTTACGTGTTTTTATGGGACTACAGCCAAAGTATGAAAAGCAGAAAATCATGTTAATTTTCCAGAGGTTAATGCATAATGGTGTATGTTACTATGAGACACAAATTTGTTTTGGTTCTTCGTTTTCAAGATATTTACGTAGGTGCAACCTCTCACAGCGTCAAACATTTTCGTGGAGGATCAGAGTGTGACCCCGGCACGCTGTTCCCTCTTGAATACTGGCGGCTCCGGCCAGCCTATGTCCGCCCCATACCACTGACAATTTGTCCTGCAAAGGTGGGTGAGGCTAGCCGCTAGCCTCTGGCCTCCAACCTTGGATGGAAAGACAGGCAAACACACAAATAGGCATTGATGTAGGTGTAATAGGAAGCCTGGACACACACACACACACACACACACACCACACACACACACACACACACACACACACACACACACACACACACACACACACACACACACACACACACACACACACACACACACACACACACACACAAACACACACACACCACACACACACCACACACACACACACACACACACACACGAGCGCACATACGGATCATATACTGAAAGTGACACGGAAATCTGCGAGGCACTGAATGTCAGCTTCCATGGAGTGTTCACAACCGAGACTGAGCAGCTCCCATTGTTAGAAGAGATTACCCTAGATGAAAGACTATCAGATATAGAGGTGACAACAGAGGAGGTAATGAAACAGTTGACAACACTGGATGCAACTAAAGCTGTTGGACCAGACAAAGTATCACCGTGGATACTAAAAGAGTCAGCGAAGGCCCTCAGCGTGCCTCTGGCAATGATCTTTAATGAATCACTTATGTCGGGAGAATTGCCCAATTGCTAGAAGAGGGCAAACATCGTACCGATCTTCAAGAAAGGTGATAGGGAGGAGACACTTAACTATAGACCTGTATCACTGACAAGCATCCAGTGCAAAATACTTGAAAGAATAATTAGGCTACGACTGGTTGCACACCTGGAGAACATTACGTTTGTAAACAAACATCAACATGGGTTCTGGATAGGGAAATCTTGCCTAACAAACCTTTTATCACTACATGATAAAATAACGAGGATAAGGCTGGACAGAGATGGGTGGGCAGACTGCATATTTCTGGACTGCCAAAAATCCTTTAATACAGTACCAAACATATGAGACTGCTGTTCAAACTCGAGAGGCAGGCGGGGGTGGGAGGAAAGGCCCTAGCATGGATAAGGAACTACCTAACAGGAAGGAGCCAGAGAATTACGGTAAGGGGCGAGAAGTCGGACTGGCGAACAGTAACGAGTGGAGTACCTCAAGGATCGGTGCTGGGACCGATTCTATTTCTAATATACGTTAATGACATGTTTACAGAAGTAGAGTCCTACATGTCGATGTTCGCGGATGACGCAAAGTTGATGAGAAAAGTTGTGACAGAGGAGGATTGTAAGATCCTCCAAGAGTACTTGAACAAGTTGCAGAGATGGCCAGAGAAATGGCTACTGGAGTTCAACACGAGCAAGTGTAAAGTTATGGAAATGGGATTAGGTGATAGGAGACCAAAGGGACAGTACACAATGAAGGGAAACTGCCTACCTGTGATGACTCGAGAAAGTCATCATAGGTTACGTCCTGGGAGTGGACGTAACACCTAATCTAACTCCTTAGGCACATATAAATAGGATAACGACAGCAGCGTACTCTACACTGGCAAGAGTCAGAACATCATTCAGAAACCTAAGTAAGGAGGCATTTAGGGCACTTTACACTGCCTACGTGAGGCCAGTCTTAGAGTATGCCGCCTCAACATGCAGTCCCCACCTGAAGAAACACATGAGGAAGCTGGAAAAGGTTCAGAAGTTTGCGACGAGGCTCGTCCCAGAGTTAAGAGGGATGAGGTATGAAGAGCGACTGAAGGAGCTGTACCTGATGACACTAGAAAAAAGGAGGGAGAGGGGGGGATATGATAGGAACATATAAAATACTCAGGGTGATTGACATAGTGAAAATAGACGAAATGTTCACACTGAATACAAACAGAACGAGGGGACATGGGTGGAAGCTGGAAACTCAGATGAGTCACAGAGATGTTAGGAAGTTTTCTTTGAGCGTGAGAGTAGTGGAAAAAATAGAATGCACTTAAGGAGCAGGTTGTGGAAGCAAACTCTATTCATCACTTTAAAACTAGGTATGATAGGGAAATGGGACAGGAGTCATTGCTGTAAAGAACCGATGGCTCGAAAGGCGGGATCAAAGAGTAACAGCACTCGATCCTGCAGACACAAATAGACGAGTACACACACCTGCTATAGATATGATAACACTAGAAAATTATCGTTAATTCATCATGATGTATTTGCAGGGATCTGCGGTGTCTGCGGAACACAATCCACACCAACCTGCTCTTCACTTACCTGCTCCACAACCTCTTCTGGATCATCTACGCCTCTATACAGGTCAGCAACACCTCTATACAG